GTGTTACTCGCTCCTTGCTTCCACACTAATGAAAGACGAAAGTGTAAGAGCTGGTGAGGCATTACTGCAATTACTAAAATCTTCGATTTCCAGATATACGTATTTGTCCCTGGTCTGTGAGGATCTCGGTCTAGGTGATCTGTTGGACCTATCAATATGTTTATAATAATAATTCAATTCATTGCCCAACAGAGTATAATAATAATATTTATTACCCTCATTAAACAGTATATAAAAGTTTACAAACAAAAAGCCTTAAGAGAATAAAGGGCTACATCAGCTTGTCCCTTAAAGAAGCAGCTGCTAGAGCCAAAAAAAAACAAACAAATTAAAACAATTCTATAATAATCCAAATGGCTATTAAGACATTGATAATTAATGATGTTTTGATATTAAGAAATGTAGCGAAGTATAGTAAGTAGAGAAGTGGAAATTTAGAGTCAGAAGAGAAAGCGAGGGGAAAGAGAAGAAGAGAAAAGGGGGAGCAGGAGATAGTATGTTTTCTATGATATCAAGGTTCCTCTTAAATCTAGCTACCGAGAGTGAAAAATCTTTAATTTTGAATTTATTTACCTAAAAGGCAATATGATATGAGAATGATTTCTTAAATGATTATTTATTGTGTGATGGTATTGTAATCAAATTCAACCTTCTAATGTTTAGATTATGTACATCAATCCAGTAACTAATTTTTAAGTGAAGATAAGGGGGGCTCTTATATTCTATAATCTTGTAAAAAGAGGAAGTAGAGTGCAAGGTACGCCTCTGAGCCATATTCAACCATCCCAGTTCGGGTAGTTTGTGGGATACTCTTTGTCGACCCCTTACGCCAAATATCAGTCTCAGAGAAGGATTCTGAGGTACCTGAACCCGTTTTAGTTCCACACTATCAAGAAATGGGCCATATACCATATCAGCAAAGTTGAATTGAGACAACACTAAAGCTTCGCAGAGCGTGGCTTTAGTATTTTGTGATGGTAATGTCTATGGGGGTAAATTATTTTTAACATTGAATATGCTTTTCTTAGGCACAGAGTAATGTGCTCTCTAAACTTTAGTTGTTGCTAATCCAATATATTTCAGAATAGCCACTAGTATCTCATGATTAATCATGGCAAATGCTTTCGTGTAGTCCAATAACACCAAGACAATAGCATTTCCCGCATCCTGTTCTCTGATGACACCATCCACAAGATCTGTTAATGCTGTGGAACAACTGTACCCGGCTCTAAACCCTGACTGTCTAGGGGGATGATATTGTTGGCAAAAACGTAGTTAGCAACTTGTATAGCGATTGCCTTTTCCAAAAGTTTAGAGAGGGTTGGTAAATTATGTCGTGTAGTTAAGCTTAGCCAATAGAAGAACATTCGCCAGCTTCCAGCTTTTAGGAAAATAAGACCTTTTAAATACAACTATTCATATTATGGGTAATATAAGGAACTATAGAAGGGCAACACATGCAAATCAGGGTAACGTTCAGGCTATCAGCGCCGAAAGCCTTCGTCTTGATACTGATGATACTATTTGAAACAAAATCTTCGTCGATTAGGTTTAATGAAAAGGTTTCATTAAGCAAGGAGTCGTTATAGAAATGCAACAATTCTTGTTTTGGAGTATTATTTTGTCATATTTGGGCAAAGTAGCTAATAAGTTCATTAACATTCCTTAAATGGTCAAAGATATATTTATTTTTAAGTATATTTAGTTTTTTTAGTTCAGCCCATGTTTTCCTTTTCTGAGCAATTCTGAAACACTAGATGCACACTTCTTTCGGCTCTAGTAGCAGAAGTGGTCAGGTTTCTTAATTGTTTATAATAGTCTCGATGACCAGGTTGGTGCGTTCGTTTAAAACGAGAAAGAGCTGCACTTCGAAGCCTTTTCATAAACTTAATCTTATAATAATAATAATAATAATGTTTATTTCCAACAGGCAGATACACCCAATTACAGGAAATATCAATAAATATCAATTAAGCACAGTAAACTGATACATAGATAAGAATTATAGTATATAGGTAAGTAATAATCAACCATAATATCCTTAGAAGTTCTTCAAGGTAAAGTTCAATAACGCGACATTTAGTGACATTAAATATGTCGCAGTTTCTGATACTATTATAGAATATTGTACACATCCTATACACGGGAGACTTGGACAATACATTGGTATGGTAGTAAAATGTAGCACAATAACGGTTACCTAAGCGAGGAACATTAAAACGTATCTTACTTAGAATATATGGACAGTAAACCTTATTGTGGAGTAAATTGAACAAAAAAGACAGAGCAGAAATATTTCGGCGTACTTCAAGCGGTTTGATATCAAAAGTTTTGAGCAATACATTATGGTCGAAGCCTCTTTGTGGATATAAACCATTGCATTTGAAGAACATAAACTTTACTGCTCTTCGTTGAATAGATGCTTGAGTGTTTCAACGTTTGAGAAACCTGACCAGTTTCTAACACAGTACCCTAGCATTCGGAAAGCAAACGATGTAATGCTATTTATATGATCATTAAAAGTGAACTTGACATCAAATGTAACACCTAGGTCCTTATAACTATTACTCCTTTCTAACCTTACCTAATTAATACTGTAGTCACCATAAAGCATAACATTCCGTTTTCTGCAATACGTTACTACTTTACATTTTGACACATTCAGTGGGAGGAAGTTTTTGGAACACCATGAATTGATAACTTCCAAGTTATTTTGAAGAAAATGAGAGTCTTCGGAAGTTACGATATTATTATAAATTTTTAAATCATCAGCAAAAAATAAATGATGACATTTAATCTCAACTGACAAATCATTAATAAATATTAAAAATAATATTATCTGTGATCCATGGACTTTATGGTCTTTTTCGACCATTGCAGTCTTTTAGGGGTGCATGGGAATCGAAAATATTCAGTATAGTGTCTGTTAAAAATGATACCTCATGATGATGTCATCTATTTGATATATGTTGTCCCAAGACGCCGACTCAATGTCAGTCTGAAACAGAGCTAGATTTATTCGATGTAAAGCCTTAAATTCCAAATTCCAATCTCATTTCCAGGACAGCAAAAAGAAAATTAGCAAAATAAGAAAAAAAAACAATAATACAACGGTGGGCAAATAAATAAAATACAGAAATATGGAAAGTTCATGTTGCATACAGTTACCCCCTTGAGTTCAAGTGGAAACCACAAAAAATGTCGCAATAATTGCATATGCTACTGCACTCTTACTGGAGATTTTAGAGCAAAGTTACTGTTTGTACGGTTGCAAAAGAATAATGCATCGAATCTACAACATGTCTGAAAAATCGCGGAGCTGTGTTTTCTTCTTTTACTCAAAAGAACAATTTGGAATCGCTTGAACAATATTTGATAGTCTGACCCACGTTGTGGGTAAGCTGTATCAGTATTAAAAGCCTAACACTTGAGAAATTTCTTTTGCACATGTCCAATTTGATTAATGCAGGGCTCCAGATTAGCGACGCATATTCCAATTTGAAACGTATGACCACGGAGTATAATGCCTTTAATGCACCCAAATCTTTAATAAGTTTACAGTTTTTGACACTAAAACGTAGAGGTCTATTAGCATTATTGACAATCTGAGAAATGACATGACTCACCCTACTGTCAAATGTCACACCCAAGTCACAAACCATTTCATGCCTTTCCCAAAGGTTATAAGGATAAGTATAGTTGTAGTCACCGTTCTTGGCGGGTCAAAGTAAGACTCCCAGTATCCCTTTATATATCTCTTATCTCCATCATACATACACATGCAACCTAAGCCTGTGTGTGAACTTTTGTTCGGTAAGCTGAAAGTCATATCCTTTTTAGTTATGTGTCTCCGTCTCGAAGACTTTGTCCTTATGTATGAGTGCCCTTCAATTATATTTGTCAGAGTGACAACTTACTTAACATCGGCGTGCATTTCCAGTTGTTAAGTCTTCAATATAAAATTGTACAATGCCTAGAAATACGATCAATTAAGAAGGCCGACAGCTCGTGCTGAATTTATTAGAGGATTTCCAGGAAGAGAATGGAAACGGCGGTGTTACCCACTTCATGCGTATAGAGAGAGTAGCAGATGCGGTGAAGATTAGTCTGCACGCGTGGTACGTAGACTCGATTTGTTTACTTATTTCATATGACGTTGATGACGTAACCGCCAAGGACGGTGACTACAACTATAGCAGCGGAACCGTGAACGAAACACGAAAAACAGGGCGATTCCAAATTTAATTTGTCGAGTTTCTGATTCGATTAGGGTAAGTCAAAATTTCCTTGGCGAGCTCAAAACTGACAGCGCTTAGAATGTGCATAAAGTGTGTTGTATAGATTAATTGAGTGCGATTGAAGTACCAGGTCAATTTGGTTGAAAAAATATTCCCATTTTCTGAGAATCGATCCAGATGTGGCATGGGTAAGCGTGAAAAAATAAATATTAATTGCATACTCATTGGCTGCCTCAAGTTAGGGAAGGTTTTGGGCTAGGCTTTGCTGCTTTTTCGCAGCGCCACCTTAAAATCGTGATGATGACTCCGCGCAATCTTGGTATAGGATCATTCAGGCTGTTGTCGCAACATACTGCAGCAGGTAAGAGAAGAAGAAATAACGTATATCCTAGAAGTTTTTTCACAAAATGTTTATCAGATTGTTTTTAATGAATTAATTTATTTAAACAGCAGTTATTATAAATTATAACTCAATACTTAACTAAACTATACTATCGAATTATGTGGAGTGGCCCATTCTACTCTACCCGACCTATCAATTTTCAAAATTCAGATCAATTTCTCTTTTTCTTAAATTCGCCGTCATAATTGTTCTTCATCTTGCGCTTCCCAGCCCCTATGATAAACCTTCCTAGTCAGTAAAGCCCAAAAATCCTCTATTGGGTGAGCCTGCAGCAAGCTTGGACAATTATCGTTTTTGGAAGCGAAAGGTATGTTGTGTTATCAAAGCAAGTTTTGGGTAAGGGCATGATGCTAGGTCTGGCCAAAACATGATATGGTCATTAGCACGATGTTCGTGGACAAACTAAAGCAATTTAGTAAAGAAGTTATCAATATAGCTCTGACTATTCAAAGCTTCACCGTTCACTCTTCCCACAAAAGGTTGGGATACAGCCCTGTTAGGAATTGCAGGACCAGACAAGGATTTTATATGCAAATTTCGCTTTATATTTGTATGTAACATTGTCAAGGCACTCCTCTACGTAGTCCGTATAAAATGCGTCATTTCCTTTCATTTCAGAATTACTCTAAGTGAAATACTTTTCGTCTTCTGAAATGATGATTTTTAAATTGGCCTCAGTTGGCCACTTAAGTCTCTTTCGATATTTAAGATCATTCATCCTCAATCACAACGATATCGTACTCTTAGAAGATTTTATTGACGAAACAGTCTCCTTGTTGACGTTCCTACCTGATTTTTTGCTCTTCTCATCAATCTCCCTGACCTCTGTGCAGTAAATGTACGTGGTCTTCCACTTTTTGGGAGATTCAGAGATGGTATTTCCTGCTCGTACTCGGCTATTGTTCGATAAATGGTTCTGCGTGAATTGTTTTCATTCTCAAATATTCGACAAATTTCAGCTTTGGGTAGCCGCCCAACCAACTTGTAGATAAATTTTCTTATTTTAGTCTAATCATATTGACAAATTTCCCCGAATTAATTGTAAAGTCTGGTTTTATTGGTGTAAGTTGTTCAAGAGGGTGTTTAAAACATGGACGCATAAAATGGGCACACCAGTTTTTGTGAAAACTTTTTATTTGACAACAAAGAATAAGAAAGCGTGTTTTTTGCGATTCAATCGAAGGAACAAAAAAGTTTTCATATGAGTTTTTTAGGCATTTATGACACCTACAAAATGAGACCACACGTGAAAAGATCCGAATAATAGCAAATGTGTTATGGCCGAAAAACGAGGCAAAATGCAGGTTTTGGCACTTGCGACGATAATTTCACGCAACTACTTGAAATTCTTCAAATCCGTAGGATTTACACTTCTAAATAACAGCAACAAAATTGAAGTATATTGGTCAAGTAGCTTTTTGAGAATTTCTAATTGCTTATCCCAAAACACCTGTTTTCCGGCCATCACTATTAGTTTATTGAGCAATATACAGGGTTCATTCAAAGAGTATTTAATAGCAAAATACACGTGTTCACCTTGCAGATATGAATCACAAACCATTCCGAAATATAAATTTTATGTTTATGAGAAAAACAAAAGTTACGGTTTTTTATTCTAAGCAAGTTCAAATATTTCGTATTTGGGATTAATTGAACAAATGCGATACGATATTCGAAAAACATACATTACTATACATATTTTAAAACAGAGCGGATGTGTCTATCATCTTTTGTTGCGAATTACTTACAAATACGAAATGTTTGAATTTGTTTAGAAGAAAACACGTAACCCATCCTTTTTGCATAAAAATAACATTTATCTTCCGGAATGGTTTGCGTATCATATCAGCAGGGTAAACTAGTGTTTTTTGCTATAAAGTGCCCTTTCAACACACCCTGTATATTGCTCAATAAACTAGTAGTGATGGCTGGAAAACAGGTGTTTTGGGATAAACAATTAGATATTCTCAAAAATCACTTGACCAATCTACTCCAGTTTGGTTGCGGTTAGTTAGAAGTAAGAATCCTACGAATTTAAAGAATTTTAAATATCTGCGAAAAACCATCCAACCAAGTGCCAAAACCTGCAGTTTGCCTCAGGTTTTGGCCAAAGCTTTTTTGCTATTAGTCGAATCTTTTTACGTGTGATCTCATTTTGTAGGTCTTATAAGTACCTAAAAATCTTATATGAAAGGTTTTTTCGTTCCTGCCAACACTTTAGATTGAATCCCAAAAAACACGTTTTCTCATTCTTTGTTGTCGAATAAAAAGTTTTCCCACAACAATTGGTGTACCTATTCTATGCGACCATGTTTTAAATACCCCCTTGAACAACTTGCAGTAATAAAAACAGATTTTACAATTATTTCGCAAACCAGAGGTATTTTCGTCTAATATGATTAGACTATTTCGAATTTATACATCATGAAGCGAAAACTTTTAAATAAATAAATAAATGTCAACTAACAGTAAAGAAAGTAAACAAACTTTTGTTTCCAAAGGCAACTTGATATTATTTTGTGTTTGTTTAAAAGCTTTGAGGACATACGTTAGATGGCCTGTCACATGGAAGACAGTTAAACGAAATATACACGTATGTATTGTCATTGTACTTGAACAAGGCCACCGTGGTATCCGAAACGTCGTCATTAAAAAGAAGACAAGATTGTCCTAACAAAGCAATGGAGCTTACGAAATTTATATAATATCATATTAAGAGTGTGAGGTCCTGCAGAATTCCTCGCGGGATTGATGAATCTCAGCTATCAGTCACACGCGATTGCATGGGCTGCGATTACCAGCTTGGACCAGCCTGCAGTACTTCATAAAGCCTTGAATGATCAATGTTTCTCTGTAGGGACAAATGAGCACCAAAATGCGTGAAACAGCGAAGTGTTATATGCCCCGGGTGGACTTGCTCCGGAGAACCCACGAGCAGACTACTATAGATAAGGCCCTATATGTCTTAGTTTTGAAAGTTTGGCACCCCTCCAAAGTGGATTTTGAACTAGCCACTCATATCGTAACACCCAGATCGATCGCTAGTTATTATGTATAAAATGTTCAATACCTGGTGTGCAGTATATTACAAGAATTACACACTAATTCATCATTGGACTACCGCAAATACCCGTAAAATATTCAAGGTGTTCAGTTGGTTTGTTTTTTCGTACAAAAACATTTTAACCTAGTAATTACGTAACTAACCGCAACAGTCATTATTGACTCTATTTTTGGTTTGTGGGGTAATTAGGAAGCCATTTTTATTAGCATGTCGCAAAAATCGATAACATATTACGAAGTTGCCTTCTATTGATATATGGTAGCCGAAATGGACGCAAATACGACCGAACAGAAATAGGATACCAACTGAGAAATCATGAATTATGTATTTGAATCTTTGCCTCAACATCACACAGTCTATTTTAGGGGATTTCATATAGTCTGTGATTTCATATCCGCAGCATCATAGCATTTATTAATGCATTTTTACACACGTATAATTTCCATTGTACAGAGACGTTTCCAAGTGAGATCGTAGTAATTCGCTTAGAAGTAATTGAAACTGACTCTAATTCCCGTTATTAAGTGTATGACATCAACTTTTCAGGGAAATATCACCTCTAAGACTTTGTATTTTCACAATTCCTCAGCAACGCGATTAGAGTGTAAGTTTTTCAACATACCATACCAACTTCCGGTTGTTTGTGTCCAAAACTGGACCTGTACCGTACTAATGAGTTGCTAAAGAGCTCGAAACAGCGCTGAATATAGTTGGTCATGGTTAGAGAGACGGAAAGCAAACATGTTCAGTTCAACAACTCTTATGATGAACAAATCCCAAAACAGTCTTCAGCGCCTTGTAGAGGAAGGTTTGAGCTTCAAAGTTGACTTAAAAATTGTATTTCTTAATCATGTCATCGCATTTCTCACGATGTGTCCTAACTGACAAAATACCAAAAATTGAGATAACTCGCATAAGGGTGTATTATTCCATGCCGGTTAATCTGACGAAGAGGCATAACTATATATCTATTAGTGTAGGCAACACACACCATTCACCCTTGAGTGTCTTATCTGCAAAGGTAAATATACAATTCCCATGAGGCGACCTATATGGAGATAGGTCTCTAAGCGTGCAATAGTACGAGGGATGTCTAAGTTTTCAATATAGAAACATAGTAGGCCGCGCGGATCGAACGTCAGTACTGAATTTTAACCTTACTTTTTAGTAAACCTGAATTCAAAGTTTCACAACAATACGTGCAGTGTTCTCACTACAGTGAATTTTTAAGTGTCACCAAGTCATTAGAAAAATGAAACTCAACCGAGAACATTTTCGCGCCATAATTTATTACAATCTTCAGAGAATTATAGCAACAAGAATACCTTGCTGAGTTACTGTCTGTTTTCGGCAACGAAGCGCCACATCAGTCGACAATTTCCCGATGGTATGGAGAATTCAAACGTGGACGGGTGAGTCTTAGCGACGATTCTAGGGTGGGTGCACCAAAAACGGCAGTCACCCAGAAAAACGTCGATGCTGTGCGCAAACTCGTCATTGAAAATAGACATGTGACATATCACGAGATTGAGGCGTCCTTGAAGATCTCAAAGACCTCAATTCAAAAAAGTTTACATGAAGAATTAGGAGTAAGAAAATTAGTTTCTCGTTGGATACCCCACCTGTTGACTGAATACCAGAAAGCAGCCAAGGTTAATTGGTGTCAAAAAACGCTTGACCGTTTTAATTCCGGAAACTCAAAAGATGCGTATAGCAGTGTTAGTGGTGACGGATCGTGGATTTACTGTTATAAACCAGAAAATAAACGACAGTCCGGTGTTTGGGTGTTCCAAGGTGAAGAAAAGCCAACAAAAGTCATCCGTTCTCGAAGTGTTTCGAAAAGATGGTCGCGAGATTCGTGTCAAAAGCGGGTCATATTGCAACAATTCCTCTTAATGAGAAAATAACTGTTACTGCGGTTTGATATACCGCCATTTGTTTGCCAAAAGTCGTCACCGAGCTTCGAAAAATCAACCCCGAAAGAAGAATCATCCTCCACCAAGACAAAGCAAGCTCGCACACAGCCCAAAAGTCAAGGCAGTATTTAACGGAAGAAAACGTGGAATTATTGGACCATCCTCCATATAGTCCCGATCTAAGTCCTAACGATTTCTTTACTTTCACGAAAATTAAAAACAGACTGCGTGGTCAAAGGTTCCAGTCACTAGAAGAAGCAGATGACGCATTCAAAAATGCCGTTTTGGATCTGCCAGTAAACGAGTGGAATAAGTGCTTCTAAAATCTTCGTGGAGAATACCTCGAAAAACAATAAAGTCATTTAAAACTACCTACCGTGTTGTTTTATTTCCATATGCAAAACTTAAAAGACATCCCTCGTATACACACCTCGGTGATCGAATCGACTCTGACCATAGTGCGATTTATTCTGCGATAAAGGGAGCTGGAGATCTTTCTGAACCCTCACAACTCTATCCGCTTTTTGGATTGGCCAGAGAACGTTAACCTTATTTAGGAATCCCAATGAATTTTTTGACTTCAAGAAGCTTTCAAAATATTTAAGAATGTTGACCACACGGCAAACTGAGGAAGGGCAAAATATTAAATGGAGTTTATGGTAAGAAAAGACAAACCAGCAAAATATTTTATCCACCACGATACTAGTTATGTCAGTATTGAGCTACAAAGACCGATGAGAAATAGTAATAATATAAATGATATTAAACTAGAACAACGTGAAAATGACAAAAAACAACAAAAAAAAGTACTCCGACGTACGCTTACCAAAATTTTTCAGAAATTTGCCTCATTAAACGGAATGAATTCCTGATAATTTTGCCTTTGTTTTTTTGTGTATCATAATACATAAACATTAGCTGGTAATATGTCAAAAAATAATGTTTCAGTTAGTTGCTTTTATTTTGGTTTTACTTTCAGTAAAAATTTGTTTGACCGTCCGAGTTGTTTTCTTCATCTCATCACCTGATATTTGTGTCATAATCTACATCAGTTTTAGGCATAGACATCGAGGGGAATCTTTAGGAGAGAGACATAATTCAATAGTCGATCTGAACTTTTTTACATAAGCTCTGCTGTAAGCAGGCCAACGATTACTTAAAAAACTAATCAATCAACCAATTTTCTGAGATAATCGCCCTCTTGGCTGGATATATTATTGTTTGCTTATAAGTAAATAAAATAAATTCTGTATATCTTGAAAAAGGATAATAACAAGAACTATATTATATATATATATATATATATATATATATTATATTTTAGCTCTATCTGACAAAAGACTTCTAAGAATTCTCACGAAGTGACCTACGTGCGTTTTCCAATCTTTTTCCAAAATAACTTGATAACCTACTACAAATATTGAAACAGCATATGATCGACAATGAATATGGGCTGCTAAACTGAAATTTTCAATTCAGAAATATCTAAACTTTACATACAATGCTCAATCAACAACACGCTGCTTTCGTTTTCTTGCTTTCCTGTAAAGTTTACTAAACGTTAGTTAGGACATTTCGTAAGAAAGCCGACGAAGTGTTTGAGTATTGAATATACTCGTAGACATTTAGAGATTTTTTAAACTTCAACTCGCTTATAGCTCGAAAACGAATAACTTTAGGGAAAGGTTATGGAGTACCTTTATTGTTCAAAATGGTCCAAAAAACGAAAAAAAGTCTAGAACAAAAAAACATTGTTCGTCTGTAGTTACCGCCCTTGCAATCTATTGACTAATGTTAAAGGGTATCCAACAGTCAATAAAACCTAGATAGACAATTTCTGCCACTGCACACTGTGAAGGTTTCGTCTGTTCACCAAAATAGTCGGTGGCCAAACATTAGCCAAAACTACTATCCCTCGGTTTTAATTATACAGTGCTTTTTCTTTAATGTCCTCCTCCCCTTTGATTTTTTGAACAGATCAATTCAAAAGATTAAAACTTGAGGTAATGAAATTGATACGCGGATACCATATTTTAGAGTAAAATTCACAGATGAAAATGTCAAGGTGGCCGCTGGGCGCCATCTTGGAAAAAAATTATATTAAAAAGGGGGTCTTGTTATAAAGTACTCGTCATTTTGAAGCTCATGACGAGTACTTTATAACCCCAGAATATGAAGCCCAATACCTTTACCTACTACAAAATGGTGGTACATTTAATAATTACTTGAACACAAACCCACTAACATGCATATCTCTACAAATAATTGTAATTCCCTGCCGTATCCACAGCAACAGCGATAAAAACTTGTTTTGTTATTTTTTGTTGACAGTGACAAGAATATCAGTACGAAAACAAACATCATTGTACAGTTAATATATTCTTATTTAGTTTTCGGTTTAAGTGCTAGATACTGTTTGAACTATTTTTAAAATGGTCTATTCTCGTCCATTGGAAGAAAAAGTAGAAGCGATTTTTATTTATGGTGCGACGCGTAACTTTCACGAGACCGAAAGGATTTTAGATGATCGTTTCCCGAATCGTACTATCTGTAAAAAATATTTGAGGGAACTTGTATCTAAATTTGCAGCTACTGATAGTGTAAACGACAAAAAGGTCCCAGGTCATATATCAATACTTGGTGAGATCATAGTAAATCCTCAACAGTGTACTTCTGCCATCGCGAGTGTATGTGAGGTTTATCCTTCTACTGTATGGAGACCTTTGAAAAAGAATAAGTATCACCCATACAAAATTCAAATGGTACGTCAGCTAACTGAAGATGTCCCTGATCGAAGAACAGAATCTGCGAGGCTATGACGGAAACCACTGCACGGCATCCTACCTATATCCAAAATATTTGTTTTAGCGATGAATGTACATTTTTTCTCAACGGTAATGTGCATAGACAAAATTGTCGTTACTGGAGTGACAGCAATCCTCACGTCTTCCGGGAAACTCATACTCAATATCCACAAAAATTAACGTTTGGCCTGGGATATTGGGAAATCATACTATGGGGCCTATATTCATCTAAGAGGCTTTAGCCGGGGAACTGTATTTGGATATGCTGGAAAATACTATTGACCCTCTGATCGCCGAAATCGTCCAAGCGAATCCTGATGAATTCGATACTGGTATTGCATTCCAGCAAGATGGTGCTCCACCATACTACTACAAACAAGTTAGGAATTACTGAGATAACAATTTCCGCGGTCATTGGATTGGCCGTCAAGATCCTGTGGAATGGCCAGCTCGCTCACCTGATTTGACACCTTCAGACTTTTTTATGGGGCTATTTGAAGCAAAAGGTGTACGACACTGAATCTGCTTCAATATTGAATATACGGCTGAGAATAACAAATATTTGTAGAAATGTCGATGTTTGAAAATCTTCGACGCGAAGTTACGGACCGGCTGTTATTGTTACAAAGAGTTCAAGGCAACCATTTTCAGCATCTTCTAAACTGAACTCAACGTATTTATTCGGATTATCAGGTTAAATGTCAATGTATTCAGGTAATTAGGACTTCATATTCTAGGGTTATAAAGTACTCGCCAGGAGCTTCAAAATGATGTACCACAAGACCCCCGTTTTCATATAATTTTTTCCAAGATGGCACCCAGCGGCCATCTTGACGTTTTCATCTGTCCATTTTACTCTAGAATATGATATGCACGCATCAATTTCATCACCTCCATTTTTTGAATTGAACCGTTCAAAAAATCAAAGAGCAGGGGGACATTAAAGAAAAGCATGGTATAATGTTCTTGTAAGAAACAATTAATTGTTTTTTATGTTTTATTTTTATAGAAAACCTGTGTATCTGTATTGTGTGCACACGCTACATAGAAATATTTTTTTGTCTTGATCAGCCGCCGATATTACGCAGGCCCTGATTTTTTCCGTCTACGAATTTTGACCTTGGATCTACCCAATTTCGACGACACTACCTATCGATTTCGTGTTCTTTAGATTGGCAACGCTGGTTGCATGCATCCTGTGAGATGGTAGTGTACACGGCCGTCTCGTGACAATTTTCTATTTTCTATGTGATTATTTGCATTAAAATACAAAATACGCCTTATCGGTTGTACAAATAAATATCTCTTCAGTAGAAGAAAATATAATTTACCATCAAGTATCAATTAGTTTGAAACTGCTTGACATCAAGTCAAGTAGAAAAATGAAAAAATCAAGTCGACTATTAACGATTCAAGGCAAGCCAAGTAGTTCATGAAGATATCAAGCTACTTGGTTTGATGAGTGCCTGTGGTCACTGCATGGATTTATTTGCTACCTCGATTGGAGCCTCCTCGTTGTCACCGCGATGTAAAACAAAAAACAAATACATGTTTTAAGATGGGAATGTTCATGGGAACCATGCTATCTTTGTTCCATCTCGGTCCACCGCGAGGAAGAACAAATAACTTTTTTTTTCGCTGTCATGGCGACGGACTAGACTGTGACTGGTTCCTCGTTCCGATAATGCTTCAAAAAGATAACAAAGAATAACAAGGATGACTCAGAATGCACACTCTCCATCTATGCAGAGACATTAAGGAAAGTCGCGTAATACGCTCATCGAGGTACTAAAGAATGCATAGCAGTAAAGCATCTGAACGTACCCTAATTTACCCTCGTCGTTAACCAGCGACCTGTTGAATCGCAGGATTTTTCAATCTACTTCTCCGGATATTTTCTATATTTCTGAACCACTGCTGAATATTTTCAAGTGATGGCTTGTCTTTTATGTTCACTGCAATTGGCATCAAAGCTCGAAAACTGATAAAGGAAAATCTAATTTTACTAAGCTGATCGTGCTACTATTTTCCCGATAAAGATCTTAGATTAAGTAAAGTTTAAAGCATTTTTCGTTTGTTTTCAGTCGCTAACAACTGTGCTATAAGGTGTTTCACGATATTCATTGATCCAGTTTTATGATTTATAAATAAGTTAGCCTTACATGTGGCTTGAAAGGGAGAAATGCCATTATCTACTTACTATTTCTAGTTGTAAATATAGCAATGGAGTTTTCCCTTACTTGGACGTAAGCAGGTGAAATAAATACACTGGCTCATAGTAATGGGTATTCATTTTATATTTATTCCATAAGCAAGTATGCGCGTGAGTATAGTAATCGCAAAATAATTTGAGGTCAAGATAATGAGTTTACTTTATGCTTCCTAATGGTGATGCTATAAATATCAACGGGGGACCAACTAGCTTTTGTCACCCAACGGTGAAATGATAAATAGATATCCGCTTTTAATTGATAAATTTTATAAACTGGTCAGTTGAGTGACTTGAGTTTGGCTTTTGACGAATATAATATTGGTCTAAATACGCCCGATACACTGGAACCTAGAATATTTAACTACCGATATTAAGGGATGCCCCTCTAAAGGGCCGATTTCACCAACATTATTATTATGGACCAATAGGAAAATACCTTATCGAAATTCAATTTGACGGAAGCTGTCAAAGGTCTCAGAATATCAGTGATTTCTATTAAAAAGTTGAATAAAATCGTGAAAATTCGACTGTATTATAAACAAGACTACTTTTTGATTCCAACATGATGCTTTTGTACAGAGAAAACAGGACAACTTTCATGTATTTTGATTTATGTTATAGGTGTACATTTGACCATCCGTTATCCCCTCAGCGAATGGGAGTGGGAGAAATAATAGGTCGATTTTCTAGCTGTTAAATTTGGCAGCAGGTTTGGTCGTTTGTTAATTCATGGCAATCTCGAAATTTGTCAAGTTCAATATACTCTGTGTATATTATATCATTATAGCTACACATACCTGTTGAATTGTGCGGATTTGCAAGAAAATAGAATATAAAATGTATTCCAACCAATTCCTCATCTCTCTTTACATCATAATTTGTTATAAATTCATGGGTTAATGAATATCTTCAAAGCAATCAAAACAATATGTCGTCCCCATCCTAAAACACCGATATGTGTAAAACATGTTAATGCCTACATCTCCGAGGTGCATAATGCAATTACTGTAGACATAGACCTAAAATTATTAGTAATTACTGAAAAATAATGTCGGGCTCATGCACGACTTAACGTAACCGAATTTAAGGATCAGTTGTTTCTACACCAGTGTCCTCCACGTGTTACGCCGCCAGATGGTAACTAGCTAGTGATTTCCAGTGGTGGTCAACGTTTTGGTGACGTCACAGCCATTTTTTGACATGATTCGGGTGGTTTCGGAACTCGTCTTACCCTTGGATAGCCGTTTCTATACTATGCTCGTATTGACGTAATTATAATAATTCTGTGGTGTCTCGTGTTCCACGACGATTTACGGTCAAAGCCAGGCGGTGAATCATCTGTTGTTTTTGTTTGAGTTGTTGACGAATTTGCGGTAGAGATTTGTTTTGGTGTTCGTCTTCGGGTATGTTTTTCTGCCTTGGACTTGTTTTTTGTGCGATTAATTGAGGATGGCCATGCCTAGAGCAAAAAAAACGAGAGCCGCGCTGGTATCAACTCCTGACCGTGGTGAAGAGGTACCTGCAGAAGGCACCTGAATGCAATCGGACATCGCCAGAGGAGCGCCTAATGATGACGTCGTGTACACGTTAAATCTGCACGAACCCCTAAATACGTGGTTATGTTGAATGTACCATCACCGATGGTGCGACTGATCAACTCTGAAATTAAAACAAAGAACTGCAACTGCAATTGTATGTATGAATGTTGAAACTGTTGAACAGTTTCGAACCAGTGGGGTTGAAATATCGTTGAGGAACTGGAAAGATGTGTATGAATGTGTTGAAATGCAACACCTAACAAAAATTTGAGTGAAAAGGCTTTTTCATGTAAGGGTTTGGCAAGTTTGCAAATATAGGATAAACTATAAGCACACAGTAGGTGATATAATCACATATTAATTACAAAAGTTGCAGTAAACATGGTAAAACCTTCAGCTAATCTGAAAAAATAGATTTTACTCAGACATCAAGCATTTTTAAAAATTTTGGCTCAGTTTTACATAATTTCATAATATTTAATAAACTGAAACGCTTTCAATGGCAAGCTGTCACTTCATAGTTTACAGTGTTTTGTTTTGAATACTTTGATGCTATTTGCTGCCAAAAATTTGACGGAGAGATCTTGAGGCTGATTGGGTATATTTAACGGACTGTTTGGTACCCTATTGGTGCAGAATAATGGTTTGTTAAATTGTGAAATCCACCCTAACTCTCTGTGCATGGCATTCCTGACTCCATGCTCGACAACAAATTACCACCGTATTTAGACTTCGGTGCACCTTGTTGGCTATTTCTTTAAAGGATCAATCAGCCACGCACAAGCCACTATTCGCCTCCTATCAAACTGGCTGAGCTATGAAAAATTCTCTCTTCTTCTTACCCTAGGCATAATGAACGGATTAAAGCAGCTCTTCAAAACGTATAGTACTATAATTAAGTGTCGATCGTAGCTACAGGACACAACTATCGCTAACTTTCTTTGTAAGAACAGACGATATCACAAAAGCCACTTTATGGATACGGTTGAAGAGCGGTTCGTTTTTTGTCTTAATCTAAACAACGATATACATAGAAAACCTTTGTATTAAACTAGTTGTTATTGGATGTCCTTTTTATGTCACTAAGTACATATATATTTGCTTTTAAAGGGTGACTTAAACATTTAAAATCGGTCAAGTGGTTACAAAGATATGTTAAGTAAATATTTTGCTGCTTGGTGGTCATTTTTAAATATGGCGGACAAGACTTGTTACATACTCCTATAAGTACCTAATAACGCCCCATATTCAAACGAGGGAGACATCTAAGGGCACACGTGAACATAGTGGCTGCCTCAACCCCATATGAAAATCCCATCCAAACTGTGAAAGAGCAGGTTTCATGTGTCCTTCATGTTATACCGAGCGATGACACATCACTGTTTTCGTGGAAATCCCGAGTGCCTTCGGATTACAAGGCAGACACATACGCGGCTAGCCCCAGTGCATACCTAATACAGTTAGTAGTTGGTTACAACATGCCACTGTTTATGCACGTTGCAATATCGATTTGTCAGGCAGACGAACAAATACGACGGAATTCGAGGGGACAATCATGGGGGTAGTTATCGGAAGGGACTGAGTTGACTTATGAACAGAGGTATAAGCCTCGCAAACGTGCAGTTGGTATGCTGATTCATTTAATTAAGTGCGGTACAATTATATGGAGATTGAGCTATACTGAGTGACAAAAGGTACACACCTACGTATATTTATTCGATTTTGTTAATTTTTAGCATACGGGTATCCCTTACTAGTAAAATTATTAAATTTTCATCTTGATTCGTTATCTCATTGCAGAAGCTGGTTCAATAATGTGTTGAGGATCCACAATTTCTTTTACACTCATTGACACGCTTGAGCATCATGCTGATAAGGTAGTTGATATCCCGTTGGGACTTATTGAGAAAACATCGACAAACGTTTATTGTAAAAACCTAATTAAAAAAAAAACTCTACGTAGTTATCTGGTGACTTTGTATATGTGAATAAGGTTTTGACTTACAGGCTACAATAGTTTCAAAACTCAGAAAAACGTTATAAAGTTTCACGCAGTATAAAATCCATGTTAATTCTGTTACAAACCGAAACAAACATGACGCTTTCGATATCTGGTGCTTTGCTCTGTCTTAATTCTATTATACTTATCAGAGCTCTCGATGCGAGATCCATAGACACAATGCAAATTAATTACAAGTAAGTAGACTAGAAACCACAAACATGGCGGCCACAAAACAGATCAAGTAACTATTCGTGCTGAGCAAGGCACAAGTGATCTGTGTTACGATGTGAATCACTTAGTAGTTACTTCTTTTAACAATGTAGCAGCCGCGCAGACAAGATTAAATACCAGGACACCGCGGCTGCTATGAGAACCTTGTTAATCCGATTTGTGAACTGTCTAAGGTTAATAGAACTGGGAACATACTCCCTGGGAGACCGAAGAAGTCAGGCGGGTCTGCCTGGCAGGCACATCGTGCGGAGAGCTCTGAGGGGTATAGCCCACTGGCGTAGCGGTAAAACAGAGCTAGAGTGCCGACGGACCGCCGATGCGGAAGGGACCAGAGAGTGTTTGTTAGAGAAGAGTCATCAATTTAAACAGCATCGAGGATGGATAATGAAGTCGGGGCCGCAGCACCCCAAACATGTGAGCAATACTCGCGGATATTTCTTCTCTGGGCCTTGTGAAGAGTGAAGAGTTCATTAGGAATAAATTACTTTTTAGCCTTAAACAAATTGATGAGATGTGGTCGTGCCAGGTCAAGTCCTCGGTGATCTGTAATCCGACCAGCCAGGATGAATGGCTCTTTGGTAAAACTCGGCTATCCATCGGAACCGGATGATCGCTAAGACGTTTCTTGTCAGTCAAGGTGCGTTACTTTTGGAAGCATTTGATAACACCAGATTGTTGAGTCCCTAAGCAGTGGTAACCTGCTGGTCGCTCGTCACAGAGGAAGGTGCTGCTAGTATTATTTTCTCCAGGTCACCAGCAGAGAGAATAATAATAATAATGTCTTTATTCCCACAAAAGAAAATACAAAACAAGTTGCAAAGCCAGTTTTATATGAACATATAGTGGTAGGGGCGAAGTTCGGCATTTATCAAATCAGCACCAAATGCTTTGGTTTTGAAGCCAAACAAAGTATCTTTCACCTGATCTGTGGACGCCAAATCGAATTCACAGAGGGATACTTTAAGTTTGAAATTATTCTCATAAAAAGAAAGTGTATCAGCATCAGGTTCTATACCTGCACTAAATAAAGACGTAAAGTACCGGTTCATTTCGTCAACATCAGCTAAATCTACTGGAATAGATGACCTGGCTGTCTTATTGCCAAAGCTCATAGCTTCCAAATCTTTCCATAGAGTCTTATAGTTCGTACCGCTAATTTTATGTTCCAAATTATTTTTTTTTTCTCTACTTTATTAGCGATCAGAGTGTATGTACATTCTATAAGCTAATTTGCTGGATGGTATAATTTTTAAGTAGTCTAGTGGCAATTTCCTTTTCAG